TAAAAGTCCCTGACATCAGAATACATACATGTATATGAAACAAAGCAGAAAACCAATGGACTGAGTTATAACAAAACAATTAAGATTTGTAATTGTTTACCCTGAAGTTTTCACATCAACTTGAAACTTAACATGTAGTACATATGTTCAAAATTATGATGTGAACTTATTGAATTGTGTCAAATTACAGTTTTGACCAATATTTCACGAATCACTGAACATGAAAATGTGATTTGTGAGCAGGGCAAGGTGTACTATTGGCATGTATATCCTGGTTTAGCATGTTAATAGCAAATAACTACAGGTCACTGTATGGGCTTCAGCAATGAGGAAAACCCATAGATTATAAACTTGCTACACATACATGTATATGTACAAGGATAAAAGTGCTTCACCCCTTCCCATTACATGGCCACTCCTCAGCACTCTTCACCAGTAAGTGTCACTAAGTTATAGTTACCTGTCCGTGAACATTTCATACCCACTTAATTTACTGTGGGAACCACTCGGTATACAACAGTTGATTTCAGATGACATTCAGCCGAAACAACTATTTTATTGATAAATCCATTAAATAAATTGTATACATTGTATTTTACATGTATACCAGGTGAATAACAGGTCTTCTTTGAGGCTGCATTTGAGATTTTATATTTGATCCTGGTATAAGTGTTTTTTTTTGTTTTTTTTTGCTTAGCTGTTGAAATTGTTGGACCTATCATTCTGACTACCGTAGTTAATTCTGATGACTTGATGAAAATTTGGATTATCTAATAATGTACCTAACTGAGAAAAATGTATCGGACATGATGTCCGACAAACCGTACACAGTTTTCAAGAGCTGCTCTTGGTCTCTAATGTTATTTACTTGTTTTTTCTAGTGTAGGTCTTGTATTAAAATATATCAATATATAGCACTTATGTCGATAAGGGTATTCCCTTTCCTAACCTTGCCAAACGGGTAACAGGGATTAACAAAGGAGCATTTGTCTCATGTAACCATTTACAAAAATGTATTAATTCAGCACACACATCTTAAATATCTAGTCAGGTTTTCCCATTATCAGACAATCTGTTTAGAATAAGGATATTAAAGCCTATGCCCTGAGTTTAGAGGGAGCAAAACACCTAACAGGAAATCTATAGGTTCATATTAGACTCAATATGTATGAATAAAAGTCTTGGGTAAACACTAATGAGACAGCAACCCAATCATATAAAAAAAATCAAAATTTAGAAAGAGTCTTTAGGTACATGTATGCATCAAAGATGTGTGGCTAAACATTAACTAGATAACAACCCATGCAATGTAAAAAATGACCTTTTGAGGGCAAGTTACAGGCTTCAATAATAGACTTATGTCTACACAATCTATCAAGTAATCTGTTGAAAGGCAAACTATCTAACTAGTATCCATTACTGACAATCTAGACGTCTATACTTCATTCAGGTTGGTAGATTTTTGGTAAGTGCAAGTTTAGACCTATATGGATGGCACTTTTTTTGACAAATGGTATTTTCTCTATATTTTGGGCAAATGATGGATAGTAATGAGCTTGGGTTATTGCTAGTAGTTCAATGAACTGTGTAGGAAATACATGTCACGACAGCCTTATATACCAATTTTAGTGCACAAACGTTTGGGATGCCAAAGAAGGCCGGAACATCAAACCCAGATATGAGTTTATGTTAACATTAAAATTACAACCTTAGTTGATAATACATTTCCAGGGTAGAGCGTAGAGGGTGTACTCCCGGGCCCCTTTTTTGATCGCAAAAAAATCCTCATTTTTATCACGATTTATTTTAATTTTTAGCACAAAATCATCCAATTTTATTTTTTTCTGGAACATCTTCATCCCTCCTCCCCTTTTAAAAAATCCTGGATTCGCCCTCGATTTCCATACTTGCCTATTGTAAATTGGTTGATTGATTATTGCTTGCTTAATGCCCATCGGCTTGTACATTTAATATTATAGCAGTTGGAATTCTCACAAAGATATGTCCTGAACTCATTTTTCTGAACTGATGAGTTCAAAACTGCATCAAGATTCTAGTCTACAAATAGTTATTTCAATACAGAAAAGTTGAAATATTTGCATGGTTAATATCTTTGTTTTCTCATTTTGGATTGAACAGAATACTATATTAAGGTTTTAATTTACTTTGTAGAACAGATGAAAAGGTTAACTTAATTGGAATAGCCAAATTTGCGTGAATTTGTTTCACTCATGCACAGAGACAAAATCCAAAATCATGAAACCAACGCAATGAAACTTATATAACATATGAATGAAATATTTGCCACTTGACATTAAGAAAACAACCGGCATATTTAAAAGAACTTTAAACAATATTATATATACTAGTACCAGTGTTTCTGTAAAACTTAAATTTTATTCAGACCAATAAATTGTTCAAGACAAAAAAAAATGAAAACAACTCTTTATAAATTTCATGGTGCGAAGAACTTTTTCCCATTATTTAAAAAATCAACAAATTTAATATAATTTCTGGGGGTATTAATTTTGCATTGTCAGACATCCAGAACCAGATAAATTCTTTGCAACTAAAAGACAATACATATATAGCGTTACTTCCTATATATAATTGGTCTTCATCGAGAATGTCATCCCTGCTAAAAATCTATCAAAATTGCAGCTTTTGACCATCGTTTAAGCAGCTAATTTGATTGCATCTTTTAACCATATCTGAACCATCTTGTAAGTTGCTTCATATATTTGATTGTATGTTTAAAAATTCGACATTTTGTTGTTCTACAACATGAAATCATTTGTACATATATGAAGCTGTGACATATTTTACTATGAATTTTATTAACGATTGAAACATCTTGTGAAAGACTTTTTTAATTGATTTTCGTGAAATAGCCAGATAAATTATTTTTACAAATTGAAATACTTTATTCGATACAAGTAAAGCTCATGTAATATATAACATTGTATAATCCAAGTGTACAATATATATATATATATATATATATATATATATATATATATTGTACAATTGGATTATATATATATATGGTTTTTATATGTCTGTGCTATATGCTATATTTGATTGTATATAGTATTTATACGCTTCCAGCACCACAGTACTGCACTGAGGCGGATTATGGGGGCAGTCCCACCTTATGGAGCTATATTTATGATAAATTAAAAGACTTTTTACATGGATCGCTCCAAACGTCCCCCGCCCCTTTTTGAAGCATACTTGATGAATGGTATAATGAAATGTTTTTTTTAAAGTTCTATCCTATTGAAGAGGTAGGTTCAATTTCCCCTTAGCTTATTTCCCATCAAAGTCCTGTTAAAGATGTGAAAAATATTATCGAATTATACAGGCTCAGGGTTTTGAACCAATCTGATTAAAATTCTGATCTGTATTAACTCGCGTGCTTGTATATGAGGATAACGGTGGGGTTTGAACATTACAATCATGCAATGTTGCCTAGTTTGCTCCCCTTTCAAAATCCCGGAACCACATCTGTAGGCATATGATAATCACAGGGGTGGATCCTGCCAATTTTAAAAGGGGGGTTCCCAACCCTGGCAGGATAAAGGGGGCGGGGTTGGTTCCAACTATATGTCCCCTTTCAAATGCATTTATCGTCAAAAAAAGGGGGGTTCCATGGTTGAGTTACTACAGACAACTAAAACTTTTATTAGATTCTTCCATATACTTTTAATCGGAGCTGCCAGGCTTTAATACTTTACAGGTTTGTCTGTACTTCGAGTAAATTCTATGGTGTTAAACACAGCTTTTTTGTCAAATAGTTTAGATGAACCTTAATTTCATTAATTTCATCTGCTTTATTACAAAAAAATAACAAAAGTTCTTACATTATAGTAAGGAAACTAGTAAAAAGGACAGAAAGTTTAGTTGTAGAACACTTTCCAGAATCGAACTTTGATGTTTTTTTTTTTTTTTCAGTTTATAGATTATCATACTGCATGAAGCCTAAATATAGTAAGTCTAGTTTTGATGGGGATGCATCATGGTACTGTCATATATAAGATTGTAAATGTTCACAAAACTGGTGAATACAAACTCAGGATCCCACAATACCCCTTGAAGCTAAATTGTCCTGAGGGTAAATCTTCGTCTTCTTCTTCTTTTTCTTTTTAACCCTACTAATCAAGGATTTGTCTCACTATACAAATCCTTGTACTATTGTACTATTTCCTAATCGCGGACATTCATTCGTGACATACGATACCCCCCTCAATCTCATTTCATCATCCTACTACCGTCCATAATGTCCTAACCGGCAACTGATTGACACTAGCAGAGACATATAATATTATGCATGTCTCTTGCACTATGTATAGAAGAACTGTTCGATAACAGCTGAATGAGATACCGACATCGGTTTGGAGTCCCCCTCTTTTCTCTTTTCCATACAAGTTCGTATGTCATACAGTAACAACAGTTTTATATGATACGCCTGACCTCTATTGGAAAATAAAAAGTGGGTATTATGAACTACTGGTATTGTAAAATCGTACTGTTAATAGTAGGACCAGATTAAATAAGCCAGTTAAAATATTAAGGAATATGTACTAAAAACTATACATAAAAAGGGGGTCCATTCTCCAATCGCTAATATGATTAATATTATGATTAACAGTCCAGACAAACGAGTTTCTCTGCACCTAGAAATCGGTTCAGGCATGGCAGAAAAAAATAAGTTAATGAAATTTAAATGCATTTAATGATTCCGATTCTTGGAAATTGATATTTGATATAACAGGATTAGGCACACAGACAATATTTATCTGTCATCACTAAGTTTCATATATTTGAGAAGGAGGGGCATAGAAAATAGCTTTAACATCTTTATTTAATCGTGTATTGACATTTTGTCTTTTTGTTCGATCTAAAACTTAAATTACCCAATGTTTATATTTTAACCCTTTTCATAGGTTCCCTAACTGAACCCCAATGTTATAGAACTCTTTCTTGTGGAGATTAAAAAAATGGCGGTTAATGGAAATGTCAGTTTTAGAGGAGAAGGCCTCAATAACCTTGTATTAACGTGTTCTGGGGTTAGTATCTGTCACTGAAATTTCTATATTCTCTTTACACAGTCCGTGTATATTGAAAATCGGTATTTTGTCAAGGAATGTGCATATATAAGTGTACATCAAGCATTTAGTGGATCTCATGTTTACATGTTCCTGATCATGTTAACCAGAACCAGATGTACATGTATTACGCAGATATTCTACAGTGGCAGCTGTAGCCACAATTAAAGGGATTCCTTATCAAATGACTTGGTGACCATAGCATTTGAGATCAAATGAAACTTATCTTTTATCTGCAAGCTGTAAACAAAATAAAAATGTATACAAAAAGGGGGGTCCAATAAATTTCCCCAAGGGCTGATGTGGTTAATTTACTCCACAAAATGTTCTCTGAGTACAAACAAACCTGTGCATTTGGAAATGTGTTCAGGTATGGCAGAAAATATGTTCATGAAATTGAAATGTATTTAATGAAACAGAAAGTTATAAAACTTTCTTGGAAATTGATATTTGATTATATCATGTATATACACTGGATTAGGTCCAAAGACATATTTGAGAAGATGGCTCATGGCAAATATTTTCCTGAAAAGCTTTATTTATTTGTGTATTGGCATTTGTCTTGTTGTTTAATCTAAAACTATCAATTACTGCAGGTTGATATATTAACCCTTTTCTTAGAACTTTATCTTGTGGAGATTAAAAAATGGAGGTTAATGGAAATGTTAGTTTTAGAGGAGAAGGCTTCAATAATCTTGTATTGATGTGTTCTGGGGTTAGTATCTATCACTGAAATGTCTTTATTTTCTTAACACAGTCTGTGTACATATGGAAAATTTGTATGATGTCAAAGAATGTGCACATTTAACATGTTTAAGTGTACATCAAGCATTTAGTAGCTTATTTCATGTACACACTTAACCATAACTAGATGTATTAAGTAGATATTTTACAAAGGCAGCAGTAGCCACCATTAAGGGGATTCTTTATCAAATGACTTAGTGACCATAGCATTTGAGATCAGATGAAACTCTTCCATTTTCTCTGCAAGCTGTAGTTAGCTTGGGATTCCCAAATCAGGAGCCTGTAATTCAGTAGTTGTCATTGGTTGCTGTCTGCCTTTCTCCTTAACTTATATTTATTTTTTAGCATAAAACTGGCTATGGGTTTGATGGGTGGATCGAGGGTTAGCTGAAAGTGGGATGTAATTGTCCAAGTTAGTAAAAATATAGATATTTTGACAACTTTATTATGTTTATGCCTAAAAGGCATAACATCCTGTTTCTAATCAAAGTGGGGTGTTTATGTATGCTGTCTACACCGCTAACACCCCGAGTATACGTCTGGGTTTTACTGTTTTTAATTGTTCCAAATTTTTATGCCAGGGTCTTTTATATGGTACTAGATGGTAAGGGTCCCTTACAATTTCTGTTAACAACTTAGCTAGCTCTGTGAAATGCATCTATTGATAATATCAACAGGTAGGAAGTTCCAATCTTTTGTTTTTTGTATTTATTTGTGTGGGTTTAAGATATTCTGTTGGTTTTTCTACTAGATGTTGTATGTGTATGACTTTACAAAATAAACTTTATTTGATAGTGCTTTCATTGGCAATCATACCACATCTACATATTTTATATACAAGTGAAATCTTTCCAAAATTTAGATGTAAATGTTAATAAAATGAAAATATCAAATAGATACAGAAAGTCATAGTTATAATTTTTCATAATCTTTTACAAGGAGCTATTAAACCATAAGTTCCAAGTGGTGAAGTTGAAATCATCCCTTCGTAAATTTATGGACACCACCACAAGTTGGTTGACCGTTATGGAATATCCATTTCACAGATGATAACGGATATGTTCCAAATGTCGTAACTACAATACTATCCCCATTTCCCTGAATTTGACCTACCCAATTAGACTGATTACCGGGTTTGTACTAACATGAGCAACACAAAGGGGGCCACATGTGGAGCAGGATCTGCTAAACATCACCTGAGATCACACTTATATTTTGGTGATTTCGTGTTGCTGAGTCTTTAGTTTTCTATGTTGTGTTTTGTGTACTATTGTTTGTCTGTTGGTCTTTTTTCTTTTTTAGCCATGACATTGCCAGTTTATTTTCGACTTGTGAGTTTGAATGTCTCTGTGGTATCTTTCGCCTCTCTTTGGATAGTTGTCTCATTGACAATTATACCACATCTCCTTACTTTTATAATGAGACCTCCTCTTACCCCTGCAACCCCTCTTTTAACACACATTCATTGAACAAGTTTATAGAACAGATAGTTTGCCAGAACTTTCCATTTATACACTTAGGCAATGACTTTTGTTAAAAGGTGCCTATTAAGACAGCTCAGCAGTAGTTTGAATAAGTTCCCATCATTGTTCATTGTAAAAAATATTGGAGCATTAAGAACAAGTCTTTTGAACAATTTGAAAAACCCTTACTGGGAAATAAAAATATTTTGAACTATGTAAAGGAAAGAAGTTATAAAAATAAGAAGATGTGGTATGATTACCAATGAGACAACTCTCCACAAGAGACCAAATAACATAGAAATTAACAACTATAGGTCACCGTACGGCTTTCAACAATGAGCAAAACCCATACCGCATAGTCAGCTATTAAAGGCCCCGAAATAACAAATGTAAAACAATTCAAAAGGGTTTGTTTTCATTAACTGATGGCCACCTTCCTTTAACAATTACTTTTACAGTGTTTTTTTTTTAAGACATGTATTTAAATGCCAATCATTTTGTGTCATTTCTCCTATAAAACAGCACATTTTCATTTTTGTAGGATAAAAAAGTATACAGATTGATGAAAAAGAATACAATAGTTTCACATGAAGACCACAACAATCATTCTGATAAGGTGAGTAGTAGTCATTTTATTACACCAACAACATAGCAATATTATTCTGAAATGTTAGTGGTCCTTTTAATACAACAACAAACTGAATGTAGTTTTTTTATTTACACCACATCAAAACAATCAGGTTTAGCCTTTTAATGTCAACACATAGACTATCTTTGCTTTTAATAGGAAAAATGCCCCACAGGATCCATGTGTCATCATTGCAATTTTTGGGCAAAATCATTTGAGTCGAAAAGATTATCTTTAACAAACAAGATTGATAATGCCACATGGTTGGAGGATAAACCTCCATTAAGTTGGGGGTCAAAGGTCAAGGTCACAACTGCTTTTGATGAACTGAAATTTTTGTTTCTGGATGTTATCTTATGAACCATGTCTACCAAACTTGGATCGCTCATGCCCATATGGTGAGGAAGATCCCTATTGATTGTTGGGTCAATAAGTAAAAGGTCAAGTACACCACAGCTATTGATAGACTGCAATTTTGTTAATGGTTTTGATTAATAAAAATGATTATGGATGTTTTCTTTTAAACAAACTTGGTTTCGATAATGTCCTCTTTGGTGATGAAGACTCTGATAATTTTATTGCCAATAGGTCAATTGTCAAGGTCTGCAGTTTTCATGTTTTCTATATGAGCTTCTCTCTGACTTTCCATGACCCAAACAAGTCTTAAAAAATGGTGTCAGATGTCAGAGCAGTCTGGGTTTGAGTTTAATCCAGTATGTGTACTATGTACTACATCTTTATTTTTATAATGTATAACTGGTAATGGTTTACATACAGTTTAGTAAACTATCAATTTGGCATACTTAAGCTACTTTTAAATTAAAACAAGGAATTATTTGAATCTGGAATAATTTTGAATTCTGGAAAATTGATCAGAAATTTATGATGAAAACTAACCCAACTAAATAGGGTTAGCCATGCACGCATGGCTAAGGGGTGTTAGTTAGTTCATACTGAAATGATAGTGAAAGTAAAATTAACCTTAGCCATGCGTGCATGGCTAACCCCATTTAGTTGGGTTAGTTTTCATCATACATTTCTAATCAGTTTTCCAGAATTCAAAATTATTCCAGATTCAATTAATTCCTTGTTTTAAGTATTCTGTTACAAATTGTAGGGAACACAAAATACAAAATGGGTCTAATAATAAAGGTCCATCCATTAAACTTATAAGGTTTCATGGTCAGTCACATTACATTTAGCCTTAATATATGTATGACATTTTCTGACCTTTTTTGTAATCATGTGTAAGTGACCTAAAAGGTATTCAATCAAGCAAGTTTTAGAGGTATATTTTGTAATGTCATTTTGATCTGCATGGCTCGAAAGTAACATTTGTATGTTTATTCAGTACATGTACCAGTTAAAAATTTGGATAGACAAGTAAATGTGAAAGTACACTTGTCTAAAAGGACAAACTAACTGATTCTGACCCTGTTACACCAGTGAACACCAAATGATCCCAATATTTGAAAACTTAATTTTTAATTCCATGAAAACAGAAATCATTACTAAAAGATCTTTTTTTAATAAAGTTTGGCACATTTTTTAAAAGTAGTTTAAACAGCCTATTCCCTGCCAAGTAGGGAGTGAAATATTGTTTACCTGTACTGTAGGATAATAATTTTGTCAGGCACCATCAATCTATGCTAAACACAGACCAATGGTGAACTAACCATGACCAAAATCCATATTGCAGATGTATGAAGCAGCCATCTAATAGAAGAACAATAAGTCTTAAAGTGAAAAATGTGCATTGATCACTTATACTGAGATGTTGCAATCCAATAGTTACCAGTATATATGCTAATGGCTGCAAATGCGTTGTAAAACCTTTCTTTTCTTTTCTGTATTCTCAAAATCTGTTACAGTTCAAGTACTACTTATCGAGATGATAATAGTGGTAAAAGAATAATTAAGTGTTATCATAAAATAATACATATCATCATATACTAGGATTAGAAATAAGTGTCAGGAACAAATGCCAAATAAAGTAAATGAACACATATTTTCTTTGGATGTTAAACCTTGGACCTAAACAGGAAATGAAATGACTTTAACATAAGCTGAATAGACATGGACAATTACTTGCAAAACTGGAAAGATGAATTTTCTGGCCTTATAATTGCAACCCCCTCTGATGATGAAGGGATAAGCTGATCTATCCAAGCAAGGATGTCAGATCATCTAGACTAAAAGATGCTGAGTGGTCAAAGTAGTCGAACTACTGTATCACTAACCTGTCAACACTGAGGTTGTGAGGTCAAAACCCTGCATGTGGTAGTAAAGCTTGACTTTAATCTTAATTGACTAGGATTGTCAGTTTTCCTGCCGATAGTCAGTGGTTATCTCCAGGTACTCTGGCTTCCTCCACTTATAAAAACTGACTGCCATGTAATAGGACAATAGTGCTGAAAGTGGTGTTCAACACCTATCAATCAATCAAAATGTAATGAGTTTTATTACAATTCCACTTTTACAAGTAAGTTTTTGTCACTACTTGCCTGATTGAACAAGTGCAGAGGCCTGATCTACCTCATTGTATCTATCCAGATGGCCTGATCTACCTCAATTGTACCTATCCAGATGGCCTGATCTACCTCATTGTATCTATCCAGATGCCTGATCTACCTCATTGTATCTATCCAGAGGCCTGATCTACCTCATTGTATCTATCCAGAGGCCTGATCTACCTCATGGTATATATCCGGATGCCTGATCTACCTCATTGTACCTATCCAGAGGCCTGATCTATCTCATTGTGCCTATCCAGAGGCCTGATCTACCTCATTGTATATATCCGGATGCCTGATCTACCTCATTGTACCTATCCAGAGGCCTGATCTATCTCATTGTGCCTATCCAGAGGCCTGATCTACTTCATTGTACCTATCCAGAGGCCTGTTCTACCTCATTGTATCTATCCAGAGGCCTGATCTACCTCATTGTATATGTCCAGATGCCTGATCTACCTCATTGTATATATCCAGATGCCTGATCTACCTCATTGTACCTATCCAGAGGCCTGATCTACCTCATTGTACCTATCCAGAGGCCTCGATCTACCTCATTGTATCTATCCAGATGCCTGATCTACTTCATTGTACCTATCCAGAGGCTTGATCTACTTCATTGTACCTATCCAGAGGCTTGATCTACTTCATTGTACCTATCCAGAGAGAGGCCTGATCTACCTCATTGTATCTATCCAGATGCCTGATCTACCTCATTGTATCTATCCAGATGACCTGATCTACCTCATTGTATCTATCCAGATGGCCTGATCTACCTCATTGTACCTATCCAGAGGCCTGATCTTCCTCATTGTATCTATCCAGATGGCCTGATCTACCTCATTGCACCTATCCAGAGGCCTGATCTACCTCATTGTATCTATCAAGATGCCTGATCTACCTCATTGTATCTATCCAGATGGCCTGATCTACCTCATTGTATCTATCCAGATGGCCTGATCTACCTCATTGTACCTATCCAGAGGCCAGATCTACCTCATTGTATCTATCCAGATGCCTGATCTACCTCATTGTATCTATCCAGATGGCCTGATCTACCTCATTGTATCTATCCTGAGGCCTGATCTACCTCATTGTATCTATCCAGAGGCCTGATCTACCTCATTGTATCTATCCTGAGGCCTGATCTACCTCATTGTACCTATCCAGATGACGGATATCCGGTACAATGTACTACAGATAGCTATTTTATATCAGGAGCTTTATCACTACAGTAAACCAATTAAATTTTAATTCAGTTTGACAAAAATTAGATTTTTTTTCACTGATGAACATTTGATGTTACTTTGACCTTGATAAGTTTAAACCTTTCAAGTTCAGTTCTCAGTGATAAACAATCATAAAATTTTGTGCAAAAATGCATCTAGAGGTTTATCACAGTTTCCCATTCCAAATTCTGGTCTCCTTTGCCAAAATATCATAATTTAACTTCAATTTAATCATCATTCATTTAACAGATGTAAATTAATTGAAAGGTGTATCTAGAATCATAACAGCCTCCCACCAACAATATGTGTCTTAGGCTTAGGGTATACTGTAAAGAGTTAAAATTCTGCTATTGCAATGACCAAACCCTGTTTTCAACATTTTATTTTTGTGTTTTTCTTGTCTTTGATTATAATTTTCCTCTAACATGTCTAAGATCAAATTTACGCAAAGTGATATTTTCACAACTTACATGACTTAATATTAATCATGAAATTAATGAAAAATAAACCCCTCATGAAACTTTCCCATTTTACAGTAGAAACTTAGTTAAATGGACTTCCAACCAGCAGTAAGGGTATCTGTTTGGCTGATGATTTGGTACACAGCAGCTATATCTGGTTGTATAAGGATTACGTCTGATGACGTGTTGGTAGAGTGACATGCTGTATGCACATAACTCTTGCAAAAACTCTTTTGAGTCAGTAGGTGACTTATTGCAAGGCAAAATGTGGGCCTACTTAATATACCCCTCTTTTCCAGTGGTAGTGGTTTGGCTTACTTACTATACCGCTCTTTTCCAGTGGTAGTGGAATTCCTTATCACAATAATGATTTGTTGTTAGATTTGTCCTCATCCTGAATATGCATGACATATTTATGGTAAATCAAAGGAGACATTAAAAGGTACAAAATGTAAAATATTTCCAAAAATGAAATATAGATTTTTTGCAGGTTTTGGTTTTATAAGGTACTGAAGGTAGATATTTATTCTATTATAGGAAAGGACAGAGAAGATCAAACAGATATTGGAGAACCAAGTAGAATATGTAGAACATGTGATCAGACCACAGATTCTAAAACAGTTTATAGCTGTCCATGTATGTAAATATCATTTATAGGCTTCTTACATATTCTCTTTAAATCAGTGGGCCAAGTGAGAAAACTTGTTACTTTGGTTGCAAAATTCTTAATGAACGTTGTTTCTTCAAAGCAGCATGCCTTTAATTTGAACCGATATGACCTTATCAGACTACTTACAATAGTCTTATGAATATATCTGGATTTTCTAATATGAAATCAACTTATATATAACATATAGTGTAGCATTCTTCTTTTTTCATTGGTTATTACGATCATGTGATTCAAAGGGTTTTTAAGTATATGGACTCTATATATGTTTTCAACGTTGTTTTCAATTTAGACTTGTTTATATTTTTTCGTTTGGGCTTGTATTATATTTGCCTTCGGGTTTATATGATCCGTTCATCCTATTTTGACTCTATCAAAATTCAAGAGTCTATCCTAAATTGAGGTAAATTATATGGCCTTCCAAATACCGTTTCGATTCCTAACATCACTGAAGAGACATTAATTGTCGAAATCCGGATATGGTGTACAAATTTTTGCACCTCATGTTTACGGTATACCATCTTTTCCGCAAGTTTATTGTTTTCTGTTTGGTAATAAATTAATAATAAGATCTATTTTGTTACATCTTGTGATCTGTTTATTTGGCAATCGCCAATGGCAGTCAGCAGGGTTTAAGAACATCAGTTGTTCGACCTGCTAGTCAAATGCGTTTTGTTAAAATATACTTTTTCACTCATTTGGTCTATTGGAAAATATTGTTTGTGCTGTATTTAGACCCCTCTACCAAGAAATTTGTTTTGCATGCACACGTATAAAAATTGCGGTTTTTATCCAACGCAATCATAGGTTTGAACGTTGTTTTCAATTTAGACTTATTTATATATATATTGACGATCAATAATTAAAATCTTGCAAAATACAATGTATTGTCTCTATTTATATTATATATTGACGGTCAATATTAAAAATCTTGCAAAATACAATGTAAATTACACAGAAAGAACATTGAAGTCGATTTCCATAATACACTGTTTACATATGTAATATATAAATTAAGGACTTTCACTCAGTCAATATGTTATATATGAACCTGTTAGATTATATCGACACTCGAACTTCATCTTCGGTCAATATAATCTGAACCTGTTCATATATAACGTATTGACCTCGTCAAAAGTCCATAATTGATAAGTATTGAATCCTATTATAATTTTTTTTTTTAGAAAATTGTGACCCTACCTGAGGGTTTTGCAGAAACTATAGAATCAGTCATAGCAGATGGGAGACCAGGTATGTGGACCATTTTGTTTGGGGAATTATGGGATAATGTCATTTTTAAAAAGTATCATTTGAAGGTCTCTTCTTGTTTATTAAAGAAAGAAGATATTCACAAGAATTCATGTTACATAACTATTATAACAATACTTCCCAAATATATTTACTGCTGAAGATTCTAAAACCAGAAACATCTGTTCTGATAGAGATAAGATGAATTAGTGCATGTATAGTTTAGTTTAAGTGTACAGTAAATATGCAGCATACTTAGATTGATAACGCTACTGATCTTAATGATAAATTAGCACTTTATGCAGCTCTATTAAATATGTTTGAAATAGAAATGATTATATCAATTTGGAGAGAAACATAAAATCAATATAAAAGCCAACATTTATATTTTCAAGTTTATCATTTTAAACCTTTGTTTTTCAAAGAAAGAGAATACATATGATATTGCATTGTATACTTACCAGTGTTTAGGTCTCAGAGTTTAAACAGTAACCATAACTGCCATAAGACCATAGACCCTGCCACCAAATGTGCAGTCATGTTACCAGATCTATGTTTTGTTACTGATGTAGAAAGTAACCAGTGCTCGTCTGATGACTGTCCTGACAGACCTACCATCAGTGTAGAAATCAAAGTTAGTACCAGGCATTTCTAGAGAGGACAACAGATTTTTTACATAATCAAACTCCCAGTTAACCTATCTTTATTTATGAAATCTAGCCTAGTACCTTCCCTGTCTAAAGAGAACAACTGTTTTCTGTGATAACTATATTCTGAAGAGATTAACATTAGTATATTGATGTCGAAACAGATGTCTTATAATATGAAATAAAATAAGGAGATGTGAAATGAGAGCCAATGAGACTTTCCACCAGAGACCAAATAACATAGATGTTATATGGAACTATAGGTCACCATAGGACCTTCAACAATGAGCAAAGCCCACACTGCATAGCTAGCAAAGTCCAAATGGGTAAAATAATTCATACGAGAACATCAATGGCCTGAATAATGCATATAAAACAATAGTTTGATAAATCAAAATCATAGGATTTAGCTTGAATATGAAGACTATGTGCTGAACTTAAAATTTGAATAGCTAATACATGTAAACTATAATCTATTTATATATATTCTGATATTTCAGCCAAAGAAAGGTTTCATGCCAGAGAAGGGCAGCCTTCCTGAAGAAAGTGCAATAAAATACAGTGTATGTAAATTCTGTATACATCAAAGGCTGAAGGTAAGTCCTTCCTGAAGAAAGTGCAATAAAATACAGCGTATGTAAATTCTGTATACATCAAAGGCTGAAGGTTAGTTTTATATCATTTATTGCATTTCTGAAAATTCTATATAGGGCCAGTTGCTGCTTAACTTTAGGGAATTAGACACCTATTCATCATATCCTTTCAGTATTCTTGTTGATTTCCCCAAATGCAATTAAAGTACCTAATAACAGTACTAAAAACGATAGTTCAGCAATAATTAACAGTTATGAACAATTATGGTACTTTTCTCTTTACATTTCAGTGTATTTTCTGTCTTTGAGAAATACATGTCAAGTTATGCATTTTCTGTTCTGTGACTGCTTTTCATAAATAAACCAGGATGTTCCCTTCAAACAACAGATAAAACTATCTGTATAAGACATGTGTATAAATCATGTAGAAGTACATGTATTTGGTTGTTTAACCACATAGGTTGTTGAATAGATAGAACATCAATTATGTATTGTTCGAGAAAACAAGGAAGAAATGTAGAAACATTCAAATTTCTTTTCAATATATTCTGAAAGATGTCAGAAAAAGAGTCATAAGTGTTGATGTGATTAGTTATGGTTTTAATTCCTGTTCCAATATAAGATCATTGTTTTTATTTTCACAAACAATATTGTTGTTTCAATTAATTTGCTGTGACAGGATTGAAAGAGTGAAAAAATATTCCATGATTAATATGCTTCAGTTGAGAGAAATAACACTGGATGCAGGTTGTTGTTAACATATTATTAGATTAGTTTATTCATTATTTGCAGTCAACATTTCATTAATAGTTGTTCCTCTATGTATCTAGAAATGCAGTTTAAATTTTATACTGGCAATTGGTGATTCATTTCCTTAAAAATGGGTTTATTTTGAATAGGTACTAGAACAGTCTATGATTGTTTCTTCTAATACAATTGAAAGGATTTTTTATAATTAATACAATTTCCTGGTTTCATTGTTTATAACTATAATTTACTGTCAATGCAATTCTATATATATCTTCTCATTAATTACCATTATTAATTTGTCACATGGTCATTGATCTTCCAAGCATAAAAATTTCCTCAGGGATAATGTCAGTTTCTCACTATATTTGACAAAGAAGTGACCCCAGGTCATCTGAGGTAATTTGACCTTTGCTGATAATGATCTAACACTTGAACAATATTACTGATAATTTGGACTAATAGCAAATCTTTGATTATGTCATTTATCTGTAAGATCAAAGGTCTTTTCTGACTCAAAAGAAGTTAATTTCTGTATTCATAATATATCAATTGGATCTAATGTTATTTAAATTTGATAAAGGAAGTATTAAAATACTTTTATATCAATAAAATTTAAACATTAATTAAAGAATATTTATTTTGTGGTTTTTGATTCCACCTTTTTCTAAACATTTGAAAAATTGTGAAATGAAATACAACCAAGTTATTTCATAATTCATAGAATTTGTTAAACCGACATGTATTTGTTAAACCAACATGTATTTGTTGAACTGACATGTAATTGTTAGTTTATTTTTCAATTCAAATGGTATTATTAAGAGAATTCAATGTTGTGTATTTATAATAATAAACATAAAAACCTGCGACTCTTTTTACAAAAAATATTAGGATTAAAATTGATCGTAAGCTATACTGAAAAGTGTATGACTTACAAGTATTTTTACTCTTAAGATTTTTAGTGAAAAGAGCACATTTTATTAAAAAGTTGACCACAAGGATTGACTGGGGTATAGAAATATGGTAATTCCTTCTTCTGACCAGCAGTAAAACCCTTGCCAAAGCTGGCCATCCAGATGTATACATTTGCAGGCAAGTCCTGTCAGAATGGGGAAGATAAATCCAATGCCACTTGTATAGAGAGTTTAAGATTAGCCTTTAAGGATGTAAGGGTGTACTAGTTAAATTAGTATGATTTAAAATAAAACCTCTTTTACCTGGAGTAACCTTGTTGAAAAGGTGTTTTGATTCATCAGTTTCCAAAAAATTCAAAATTTCTGTGTTTTCAAACTGCTCAAGTTAGAATTAAAATTTATAATGTTTTCTTTTTTGAAATATTTTTCTAGATTATATCATGTCTGTTAAATACTTTGTGGGAGTGTTATCTATTCACATGAAATAAATTCTTGGTATTGCTGTTTCTTCACTTAGATGATTTGATATAGAAAATAATGTCCTAATGCTTCAAAGACTCATTAATTTCTCTGACAATAATATGAATCAATATCGACTAATTGAATGACTCCTGGAAATACTATGACTCAATTTTAAATGTTCTTTACTGAATTGTAATGAACTTTTTTACACATTGATGGATATTTTTATGGAAATATTATAATGTGGACTTATTTCTTGAAAATTGATTGAATATTAATTGTCTGAATGTTGACAGTATATTTCCTTTTGTAATTATTGTCATAAAACAAGACATTTATCAATCAAAGTGTTTTTAAAATTTTATGATTTTCATGATGTAATGCTGACATGTTCATTTTACAAATTACAAATTTTTTACTCATCATCAATAAATCATTCCATAGTTTACTGTGAACTTTCAAGGATTGCTGTACTTTCAGATTGTATCAAATTTTACATTTAAATTTTTTTCAGCATCTTTAATGCAAAGTGCAGTTTGATTGATTGATGTCTCCTTAATGTCTTAAGTTCAGTTTAAAGCAAGCATGGCTTCAATTGAAGCATTTGTATATGAAGTGTATAAGCACTCACAAATGAACAAACAACCAAGTTTGAAATGGAAACATTAAATATCACTGCCTATCATTAACATCTGATTGAAGCTCATTCATTGGTGTAAAAGAAAAGAACAATGGGCTTATGAATACAAAGGAGCTTTATGTATAAAGGTTATGTTGATTGGCAGAAAAAAAATATATTTGGTGTTATGATTGAAATTCTTTTTATGTTTGTTTTCCGACTGAATAAGAGGATTTAAGGCACGTTGTATTCACCGTGTCAGCGACAGTGTTACATCATAGATCAATAGAAACCTTCAATCCTGCGTGTTGTACAGATTGAAGAAATCTGATCAAGTAAAGCTGATTCCAAGGATTTAGTCAGAGATACAATGATTTGACAGTAAATGTGTGGGTTTAGTGCTGCTGTTTGTGATATATATTAGTAGACATTGAAATATTTAGAAATCAATAATACGTTTTCTTAATGATGACAGTAATTGTTTATTAAAAACAGAAGTTTATGACATGTTTTCTGTATAGATTTAACCCAATAACAGAAATTCAACACAATGATTGGGTTGAATTAATTTAGATTTTTTGGTTAAATGTTGTTTAATCTCAGTTTCCATCCAGTAAAACAATTTAATAATATTTGATTTGATTAATTGAGAAAATGAGAGATCCAGGGAGTCAACCATCTATCCTGTCAAGTAACTGACTCACATTCTCACATATCAAAAACTCACCTTGGCAAGTAACTGTCTCACTCTATCATATACCAATAACTCAAAAGACACTACAAACCTTGGCAAGTAACTGACTCACTCTCTCATATACCACTAACTCAAGAGACACTACTAACTTTGGCCAGTAACTGACTCACTCTCTCACATACCAATAACTAAAGAGACACCACCAACCTTTGTAAGTAACTGACTCACTCTCTCACCAGCCAATAACTCCAGAGACACTACCAACCTTGACAAGTAACTGACTCACTCTCTCATATACCAATATCTCAAGAGACACTACCAACATTTGCCAGTAACTGACTCTCTATCTCTCTCTCTCTCTCTCTTACCAATAACTCAAGAGACACCACCTACCTCGGCTAGTAACTGAATTGCTCTCCCACATACCAATAACTATAGAGACACCACCAACCTTGGCAAATAACATAATCACATTCTCACATACCAATAACTCAAGAGACACCACCTACCTTGGCAAGTAACTGGGTCAGTCTCTCTCATTCAAATAACACAAGAGACCCCACCTACCTGAGCAAGTAACTGACTCACTCTCTCACCAGCCAATAACTCAAGACACACTACAAACCTTGACAAGTAACTGACTCGCTGTCTCCCATACAATAACTCAAGAGACACCACCAACCTTGACAAGTAACTGACTCACTCTCACCAGTCAATAACTCAAGAGACACCAACAACCTTGGCAAATAACTGACTTACTCTTTCATACAATACCTCAATAGACACCACTAACCTTGACAAGTAACTGACTCACTCTCTCACCAGCCAATACCTCAATAGACACCACTAACCTTGACAAGTAACTGACTCACTCTCTCACCAGCTAATACCTCAATAGACACCACTAACCTTGACAAGTAACTGACTCACTCTCACCAGTCAATAACTCAAGAGACACCCACAACCTTGGCAAATAACTGACTTACTCTTTCATACAATACCTCAATAGACACCACTAACCTTGACAAGTAACTGACTCACTCTCTTACCAGCCAATACCTCAATAGACACCAATAACCTTGACAAGTAACTGACTCACTCTCTCACCAGCTAATACCTCAATAGACACCACTAGCCTTGACAAGTAACTGACTCAGTCTCACCAGCCAATAATTCAATATACACCACTAACCTTGAAAAATAACTGACTCACTCTCTCACCAGCCAATACCTCAATAGACACCACTAACCTTGACAAGTAACTGACTCACTCTCTCACCAGCTAATACCTCAATAGACACCACTAACCTTGACAAGTAACTGACTCACTCTCTCACCAGCCAATACCTCAATAGACACCACTAACCTTGACAAGTAACTGACTCACTCTCTCACCAGCCAATACCTCAATAGACACCACTAACCTTGACAAGTAACTGACTCACTCTCTCACCAGCTAATACCTCAATAGACACCACTAGCCTTGACAAGTAACTGACTCAGTCTCACCAGCCAATAATTCAATATACACCACTAACCTTGACAAATAACTGACTCACTCTCTCAC